CCCCCCCCCCTCCCTCCTTCCGCCTCCGGTATCAATTTTGTACATGGATTTCATATGTAACACTCACCCGGACCAATTATAACGCCCGGGCCTTATTTAACGTGACACCGGACAGATTTTGGAGGTCAAAAGCTAAGTTATTTTCCCCATGGTTAAAATTACGCAATCAATTCACTAAAATTTGCAAATTTTATTTTATTTCGTCGAACTGTTGGTTGAAAGAAACATAACACTGGTTTTGTAAAAGAACTTCTTTCGAGTATTTTTGGACAGCTTTTCATACAGTTTCATGGTAAAAAAAAGATCTGCAAACAGGCTTAAATCGTATACTAGAAACTCGATAAAGGAATTGATCTTTACAACCTAATGTTTATCGTAGACATAAGATATTTCAAACTATGAATTCTGTTAGATCAAGCATCATATGTTTACATCTGCAGGTTGCAAAGATATTGGAATTAGTAACTTTGAGTTTGTGGCAAAGAATCAATTCCTTTGTCTTTTATCCTTATGTTAGAGTAAAATTTACAAATTCAAAATTATATATTTTTCTTATTGCACACTTTTTATTTATTATTAAGTTCCTATCTTAATTCGTGTTTATTTTGGTTTAATATATTTTTCCATTCTTTCAGAGAAAATGCAAACCGTGGAAATAGCTCGGCTGAGGCCACCTTTAGGTGAGATATTTTTAATCAGAAAGATTTCACCGAACCGACAAAGTTTAAAGGAATTATCAGCGCTGTGTCATAGTGTAAGAGTGCCGTCATCGATTCACAGCAGAGCCATTTAAATCATTGTTTTAAGTATTCCTATGAGTTAAAGAGATAACCAAGTTTTTCTAAAAAAAAAAATGAAAAACTTAGGACCAGATTTTATGAACATTAATGATTGAGACATGGTTTAAAAACTTAGACGTGGTTCAACTACTTCTACTAATTCAGTTTGAACCGACACACACCAAGGAAGTTATTGAACTACGTCTGCACGGTTCAGCTATTCCTCGCTGTTCAGTGTTCATTTAATCTGATCCTTGGACCGAATATTTATATTCATAACCTAGCAATATAGATTGAGTTTGTCGTCATTTTTACAAGATCATGTTTCTAAAGAAACCGTTGTGAACCATGATGTGAATCAAGAAGTCAGTATTCTAGGAATGTTAGAAGGGGAATGATTTTATGAAAAATAAATAAATTATTTGATTAATTTTATCATGAAGTGTAATTTTCATTTTTCCTGTCAAATCTTTGAAAATGATCAAGAATCATAACAACGTAATACTGAGACGGCACAAATAACTGACTCAAGAATAAATGTCATAATTTAAGAACTCTGCAATGGTTGGTATTTGAGATAAATTAAAAATATATATTTCTAGAGAAATATCAGGATACAAACCTGTTCCTCCAGTACCTACCCTACTGTGATAAACTAGACGCGGAAGCCGACGAATGGCTCAAGGAGATCAAGGAAAACCTCGGACGTGCTATTATGATCAGGTTCAGTTTATCGGTTTTTATTGCATGAAATATAACATTTGCCGCTTTAAACTAATATATTCACAAGTATAGAGATGAGACCTAGAATTTAAACAAATCTATTCTACTTTATACGAGATGAGACCTAGATTTTAAACTAATCTATTCTCCTGTATAGAGATGAGACCTAGAATTTAAACTAATCTAATCTCCTGTATAGAGATGAGACCTAGAATTTAAACTAATATATTCTACTTTATAGAGATGAGACCTAGAGTTTAAACTAATCTATTCTCCTGTATAGAGATGAGACCTAGAGTTTAAACTAATCTATTATACTTTATAGAGATTAGACCTAGAGTTCAAACTAATCTATTCTCCTGTAAAGAGATGAGACCTAGAATTTAAACTAACCTATTCACAAGTATAGAGATGAGACCTAGAATTTAAATAAATCTATTCTACTTTATACGAGATGAGACCTAGAATTTAAATAAATCTATTCTACTTTATACGAGATGAGACCTAGAATTTAAATAAATCTATTCTACTTTATAGAGATAAGACCTAGAATTTAAACAAATCTATTCTACTTTATAGAGATGACACCTAGAATTTAAACAAATCTATTCTACTTTATACGAGATGAGACCTAGATTTTAAACTAATCTATTCTCCTGTATAGAGATGAGACCTAGAATTTAAACAAATCTTTTATACAGTATAGAGATGAGACCTAGATTTTAAACTAATATATTCTCCTGTATAGAGATAAGACCTAGAGTTTAAACTAATCTATTCTCCTGTAGTGAGATGAGACCTAGAGTTTAAACTAATCTATTCTCCTGTATAGAGATTAGACCTAGAGTTTAAACTAATCTTATCTCCTGTATAGAGATGAGACCTAGAATTTAAACTAATCTAATCTCCTGTATAGAGATGAGACCTAGAATTTAAACTAATATATTCTACTTTATAGAGATGAGACCTAGAGTTTAAACTAATCTATTCTCCTGTATAGAGATGAGACCTAGAGTTTAAACTAATCTAATCTCCTGTATAGAGATGAGACCTAGAATTTAAACTAATCTAATCTCCTGTATAGAGATGAGACCTAGAATTTAAACTAATATATTCTACTTTATAGAGATGAGACCTAGAGTTTAAACTAATCTATTCTCCTGTATAGAGATGAGACCTAGATTTTAAACTAATATATTCTTCTTTATAGAGATGAGACCTAGAGTTTAAACTAATCTATTCTCCTGTATAGAGATGAGACCTAGAATTTAAACAAATCTATTCTACTTTATAGAGATGAGACCTAGAGTTTAAACTAATCTATTCTCCTGTATAGAGATGAGACCTAGAGTTTAAACTAATCTATTCTCCTGTAGTGAGATGAGACCTAGAGTTTAAACTAATCTATTCTCATGTAGTGAGATGAGACCTGGAGTTGTTATCTGGATAACCCGTCTGACCTCCTACATAAATCTTCACGGATATAAGTTTTCAAAACAGGTTTATTAACAAGCTTTTAAATTTATATAATACTTATACTTATACAGATAAAGTTCGTTAAATGATATTTTTAATTTGGGTTGATTTCTATCTTTTTTGTATAAGGAGTCTTTGTATTTATTTTTTATCTGTCTCTGTTCAGGAACATATAGAGTTTATCCGCGCTATCTGGAGCCTGCTAACCAATCCCGGGATGGAAACCCGTCTCCTGGATGTATTTGCTCGTTCGCTCTCCGTCCTACTATCCAGGAAGGATCTCCTGTCTCCGGCAGATCTTCAGCTGGAATGGAAACCTCTATACCTTCTCTTAGAGGATTTATCTAGTCACAATGTTTTAATGAATTTAAAGGTGAGTTATTCTTAATATTGGGGACCCCCAAGATCGGATAAATTTACACAAATTTCTCCATCCAGACGGTCAGTTCTTTTTGTCTAGTTTTCCGGTGCTTTCCATGAATCTACATGAGACTTAAACCGTTTATTTTTTCAGTTCACGGGTATCAATGAGTTAAGCATCAGTCTTTCTTTTTTGCTTATTTGAATCATATTCTATTTTACGACCGCGTCCAAGGTCATTTTTATTTTTCATTTTATGGCAAAGTTCAAAATACAATCATCATTTTTCTCCTAAATTCTTCCAATTGTTGATATATTTAACCTTAACAGCTCCAATTCCAACGTTAATTATAATTATTAAGTTTGGTTTCAGGTTTATCCGCCAGATTTCGAGAAGAATCTTAAAACTCTGATCAAACTCTCCCGGAGTTACTTCCCAGCCTCTGCAACCTCGGAGATACTGGCGGAATTCCGTCCTTATTTCTGTCCTCATGATAATATAATGACCCGTGGTATCTCATATTGTTCCCTTTTTCTCCCAACCCTCCACCTGGAGGTTCAGAACGGAGAAATTAAGCGGATAGAACCTGCTCCCTTCCTACCTTGGCTTAATGAGTTTCAGGAGTTCTGGTTCGCCTGCTCTAATGCTCCGCCCTGGGAAGGATCAATGATTAATCTGTTATCTCGTCTAGCAATGGACAATATAGGTTTAATAGACTGGGGGAAAATAACTCCGGATTTGTTTAATAAGATAATGCTAAGTTTTGGATTACCAGTTTACTATAAAAGATTGGGTGTTCCCATGAAACCGATCTCTATATCTAAGACAACTGCTGCAAGATGGATTGTTTTCTCAATATCTAAGGTACAATATAATAAATGTTTTGTTTTTTACAACAAAATTTATTTTTATTTGACTCCTGTTTCTAATTTATTTATTTTGAAGGATTCTGAGATATTGAAATATTTGTCCGTTCTGATGAATGCTGTAAACTCTTACTACCATCCAACCAGTGCTGGTTCCTACTCCGACAATCTGGTCGAGTTTTTGAACAAACTCATTTTCTTCTTCATGACGAGGATTCGCTCAGAGAGGTAGAGTTATCTTTAACAGAATTGTATGTAAGGGACTTGTGAATTTCCACAGCGCGGACGGTTACGAAAATGGCCGAAATTTTTCGTCTTTGCTTCTTGGTAATAGGGTAATTGACTTGTAAGGTTGAATTTTAGGATTGCTTAAAATAACGGATGACAATTCCTGTATTTCAAACTTTTTTTTAGCAACTATTTTTTATTATTTTTTAGATTTGAATTAGTTCATCCTGTTGACTGGATCCCTGAGATCAATCCTGAGAACAAAATCACCGATCTTCAAATTGAAGAGTTTTGTGAAATTGTTCTTCCGGCCACTCTGAACCTAGCCTGCTCCAGGTACTGTCTAATATACAAGTTTCTTTCATTCCTGTTTGAAGCGGCTGGAGATTACAATTTTTTCTTAGTAAAAATTTGCAACATTTTTAAGAAAGACTTCCTAGATAACAAATGCATAGATAGGACATTTAATAGGCAGGACATAACATTTCATAGATTGGACATTTATAGACAGCATATGACAATTCATGGACTAGAGAAATCAGGAAAAAATACCTTTTTCAATTTGTCAGGTTTGTGATTGATCCTTGTTGTAGAAAGTATGTGGAGGTTGAGCGGAACAATCTGAATATACTGGCGAGTATTCGTCCTGACCTAGTCATCCCTCCTCTTCTTAGGAAACTTGATCTCTCCTTGGAGACCCTGACAGAACCTTTCAAGTTTACAGCAGCAGTTAAATGTCTAGTTTCAGGCTAGTTATTCATTCATATATTAATCGATTCGGAGAGACGAGTACTAGCAATTTTTTTGATCTCCGTGACAAAGCTGATTACTTGCCTCAACCCCTTTTTTCTAATTATTATATCTTTGCAACCGCATTGTTTTTCTTATATCAAATAGTCAAAGTTTGAAATATAAAAGGTTTACACCATCAATTTATCTTATCTTGTAAGGATTACAAGATAAGATTTTCAGGCGAGTAATCAGTTTCTTTCAGGTTTATTTGAAATATTAATTTTAGACTTATTAATAAATAAACGTGCAATCTGAAAACTTAATGAGTTAAATATTATTTTATTTTTTCGTTTTAGTTGCTCGAAACCTCGTAAAGAAGGATCCTCTTCTACCTCAAGGACAAGATCAGGTTCTCCGGGTACTCTTCTCCGTCCTGCCCGGGATAGATTGCAATGATATCAAGAAAACACTCACCGTGTTCCAACTCATCTCAATAATCGCCAGGCTGGTTCCATTTACAAATATGAGCTCTAAGAAGATAAAGAATCAACCGGTTTATTCTTTCAAAACGTTTATTATCGAGTTTTTGGATCGATGCTTTTCTTTGATCGAGAACTCGTCCTTGGAGCTTATTCGGCAGGAGCAGTCCAACGGAGATACGCAAATGTCTAACGAGGAGTCTTCCATCAACACCGGAATCGTCACATGTTTCGACAGTATACTTCATCAGGCCGACGAGGATCTAAAAGTTCTCGCTATGCAGAAACTCAAGGATTTTCTTCATGGTCGAATCCTGGAGCCGAAAGTGGCCGGGAAAATTGCAAGTGGGATGTGTCGAACTTGTGCTAAAATCTCTCCGGTAGAAATCCTGGCAGCATTCGTCCCAACTACTTGCACTATTCTCCGGGATACCCTGAGAGAAACAGATCTCAGTACAGATTTCTATCTTGGAGACGAGATTATGTTCAATCTACTTCTTCTATCTGATCTTGTAATTGTTCCGGGATATTTCATAATACCGTATATTCCTCAGGTCAGATTTAAATTGTTATTATAATATTGATTATTATACTTTATACCGCATTTTTAGAGGATTTGAAAACATTCCCAGAATTAAATTGTTAATTCTTATTTTAACTGGAAAGCAACTATTCTCCAGTAATTTAAGTAATAACGTGTTTAATATTAGAGATAAATAGAGCTTATTTTGCACCTGTATTCTTCTTCATTTTTAGGAGTCAGATTCTGATATAAATCAACATTGCCCTTAAAAGTCGGCTGTTTAGTCCTTGAACCTTACTGGGCTAATCCTGTATGCTGAATCTATCTTTTTTAGCCACTTTTTCATTGCTTAACAGTCTAACAACCTAAAATCATGAAAAAATAATGATATATTGATTTAAAAAAATATTTACATGAATAAGTTTTGGCCTCCATGTCTACGTCCAAAAAGAAGGAAAAAGTTTTGAGTTAAATTTTTTGAATTTTTTGGAACAGGGAACTTTTTTGTGTCAAGATTTTGGTAATAAATTAACATTAGGTTAAGATTCCAGAATTGAATGGCGCATCTATCTATCTATCAATTTCCCGTGAATAATTTTTATTATTCACGCCCATTTCGTGGAGTAATCATAATTATTTCTGATTTGGCTACTTAGTAAATCCGACAAGAATGTGGTATAATAAATATTCTTGATGGTAATTTAATTATATTTTCAGATTTCTGAAGTTCTTAAGCTAGGTTTACAATCCAAGAATAGAGAAGGACACACTGCTGCTCTGACAGTGTTCCGTCACACCCTTCACTCACTCTCTCATCCTTGTCTAGCAGAGAGAGGAAGGATTGTATCCACCCCGTCTCAGAACCCACGTGAGGACTGGGGTAGACAAGGAAATCTGGAGAATTTAGATGTTAAATGGTGAGAACATTTATCTTTTATTCCCATGAATTGAAGGTTGAGTTTAATTTGTTTAGGTACCTACCCGGAGAGAAGGAGTTCCATCAAATCTCAGAACTAGGAACTGCGTTTCTAGGAACACAGGTTGATCGACTCACTGAGTTTATTGAGGATAAAAACCAGATGGGTAGAGAGGAGGTTCACCAGTCTCTTAAAACTATTAGTAGTTTTATCATAGGTTAGATATTCTTAACTATCAGTAGTTTTATCATAGGTTAGATATTCTTAACTATCAGTAGTTTTATCATAGGTTAGATATTCTTAACTGTCAGTAGTTTTATCATAGGTTAGATATTCTTAACTATCAGTAGTTTTATCATAGGTTAGATATTCTTAATTATCAGTAGTTTTATCATAGGTTAGATATTCTTAACTATCAGTAGTTTTATTATTGGTTCGATTTTCTTAACTATCAGTAGTTTTATCATAGGTTAGATATTCTTAACTATCAGTAGTTTTATCATAGGTTAGATATTCTTAACTATCAGTAGTTTTATTATTGGTTCGATATTCTTAACTATCAGTAGTTTTATCATAGGTTAGATATTCTTAACTATCAGTAGTTTTATTATTGGTTCGATATTCTTAACTATCAGTAGTTTTATTATTGGTTCGATATTCTTAACTATCAGTAGTTTTATCATTGGTTCGATATCCTTAACTATCAGTAGTTTTGTAATGTTTTCATGTATTTTGAAAACATGCACAAAGTTATTTTTAGCACCTTCTAATATGCGACAACACAATATGTGTTTGTAATAACTCTCAGTATTGCATACAGATATGCTACCCTATTATAAATAATGTAGTTTGTTTTTTCTCTTGAACTGCTGCCTTATCAATACTTGAATATAAATGTATCATTAATTTTGGCAAGGGAAAAAAAGATAAAGTGTATCCGTAAACTAATTGATTTCTTCTTAATTTTCTTTAAAAAATGAATGTACACGATATTGTTGTAAAATAGTTTTATTTAATACATGTAAACAATTTTGTACAATTAACATAATCTCGATACGGAGATAATAAATATCTAGATCTCAAAAAAAGTAGTTTTATAATAGGTTCGATTTTCTTAACTATCGGTAGTTTTATCATAGGTTAGATATTCTTAACTATCAGTAGTTTTATCATTGGTTCGATATCCTTAACTATCAGTAGTTTATCATAGGTTAGATATTCTTAACTATCAGTAGTTTTATAGACAGGATTTCTCCTTCCAACTCCGTGGTGTTGAGAACACACGTATCCAGCTGGTTGAGTTGATGGAGAAACTTGTTGCGAAGATTTTGAAGGATAGAGCAGATGATACTAAGGTTCTCATCACTATTGCAACTATACTCAAGCTTCTGGTCTTCGAGCACACTTGCACAGACGAAGGTCCTAATATTTACGTAAAGAGCTGAAATTAAGCGCACTTCAGAAAAGTTAGTGGGGGGGGGGGTGTGCTCGTAACGTCGTTTTTGAGACTTTATAAACATAAAAGTTCTCTCAATTCCCTGATAACCAGCGCACCACATTAATACACAAGTGTTATAGTTTATATGCTTTATTGAAGTAGTTATTGTCAACTTGAGTCCTCACACTGTGAAGTGAAATTAAATTAGTATAAGATAACAAAATATTTATATTTATTGTTTTACAAAATGTTGCTCCAGGTTTCAAAATAAGCTTTAATTTCCCGACAATAAAAAACAAGTTAAGTGAAAATGTTTTGTTGTGTAAAAACACACTTACAAAGTTGCTCGGGCTGGAGTTTGATGTGAGCTACAGTTTTCGAAGAGATATATCATGCTTTTTTCAGAGTCTTTTCGAGCCTAAAAGAGAGTTCTTTTGTTAACTAATAGCACAGTAATTGCTGCATACCTTTTTTTGCGATCCTTAAAACAGTGAAGAAGAGTATCAGGAACTAAGGAAGACGACATCCTTGAGATCTTCAGGAATCCAAACGAGATGAAGTTTAAAATCCTAGTTTAGTTGAGATCGTTATATTTTTCTCTCATTGACAAATCTCACCTTAACAGGACTCGTCTAAAGCATATGACGTTCCAGCATAAGCCCTCGTAGATCAGCGGAGATCCAGTTTAGGGATAGGTTGATAGGAGTATCTAGCGTTCCAGGTCATAAGAAGATGGTAGATAGATCAGCTTCACACATCAAGAATCTTAAATAAGTGGAACTACGGTGGAGGAGTACGACCAGAGTAGTCTAGACAGGGTTTTCAGAGGGGAAAACGACCTTAGTAAACATCTTACCAGGTGAAGAGAATTCTTCTATCAGATCAATCAGACGGAGTATATGAACAACAGGAAGGAGACGATCCTGGATACATATGTTTAAGGTATTTGACTGCATGTGCATAATAATAACTGATAAACATTCATCAGCAGTATTATTCACAATTACAAAATATTTCTGGGAACATGTGTTGGGGAGTCAACCATGGGATGGAGAACGTTTGATTCAAGAGTTTCTAAAAGTAATCTACCTTTACTCTCCGCCTGACTGTGAGTCCAGTCTACAAGATGAAAGTTTAAGTCACCAATCATAATGTTCTTTTCTCCGCTCAAAGAGTTTATAACATCACAGAGTTTCTCAGTGTTCTGTTAACTGGAGTTAGGAGATCCATGTATCACTGTAAATGTCAAAGCCTCAGAAGCATTATTGGAAATTAATTTAAATTGGCAAAATTGATTAAATTCACTGCTATTGTCGAGACATAAAACTTTGAGTCCAGTTCTCAAATAAACTAAAATTCCTCCACCAATTCCATTGGCAGTGTTAAGTCGATCAATTCTAAGGTTAGGTTCTATAGAATAACCATTATGGTGAATAAACTAGAGTTGCACCAGGTTTCGGTAATGATAATAATTTCTTGAGTTGTTAATCACTACACTTGCACTGAGCTCATCCAATTTACTTGCCAGATTTTTTGGCCAGATGTCCAGATCTTTCTCCTACAGAAATAAAACTGTATGGATTTCATTGTACAAAACCTATGTCTGTCCCCACCTTGAATACTGTGTCCAAGCCTGGAAAACCTGGCTAATAAAAGACAAAAGAAATCCTAGAAAAGGTTAAAAAAAGAGCAATAACAATGACCCTAGGACTCTCTGGGTCACTTATGATAGAGAAGCTGAAAGAGGCTGGTTTGATCTCCCTGGAGAACAGATGAAAGCGAGGAGATATGATCCAAGTCTTGAAACTAATACGTGGACAAAAATAAATGGTTCAGCTCTGCGTATTTACCAGGAGAAGGAAGTGGTATTCAATCCAGGCAGTCAAGTGATCCTATAAACTTGAAAGTTCCAGCTGTAAAGACTGAAATATATCGAAATTGTTTTAGCACAAGATGTTTTAATATGTGGAATAAATTCAACAAGATGTGAAAAATGCAAAGAACCTGAACAGTTTCGAGAATAAACTGGATGAATGGCTGAACTACTGAATGGCCAACATAGACTAAAGATCGAGATGTTTTAATTATCACACCAGTAATACAGCAACATAAATACACCAATTAAACCAATAGAGGCTGCATCCCAAATTTCATCTGTCCATCTTAAATTTTAGGACCAAACCTAGGTTTAAACTTGGAGTTACAAAGATTTGAATCCCCTTCCCAAATACACATTTTCTAGTCAAGCTATCGGCATTCAAGAATCAAGATGGGACATTTACTAGTAGATAATTCATAGTTCATAGACAGAGAGTAGCTTACGAAAAACAGCCTGAACTATTTAACATATTATACATGACAGGGTGCTTTGAGAAAACGGGTTAAACAATCTCTACCGTCATTGAAGGCTAAAGTTTTACATATTTGCGGCTGCAGAAATAAAATTTGTCAAATCATTTTCCTGTCTTTCTGAAAATATTAGAACATCTTTGGGGGGTTTTAACCTATTCTTTTTCAAAGTATATTTACACTTATTAATAAAAATATATATTTAGGTCTAGAGAAACACATGAAGAACTTCCAGCAGTCTAAATCTAGGTTAGAGCTGATGATACTAGGACGAAACAAGGATATACGAGCTATTCTCTTAGATAGAGTTCTTATACAACATGAGAAACGGTTGGTGGAGAATATTCTCAACAGTTTAACAGGTTATACAATCAGGGGTGTATAATGTGTATTTTTAAGAATTACCCTCCTGGGGGAATGCTTTTTAAGATCGTGGGAAAAAAATTAAATTTGACCTCGAAAGGCAAATTTTTTCATACGCTGAACCCAAAAAATATATTTTGCCCTTTAGTAATTTTTTTGTCACAATTCAGCGAATAAAATCCGTATTTGCATAAGAGGGAGAGGGGAGGAATGATTTTTAAAGAAAATATGCACCCCTGTTTATTATATTGTTTTATAGATAAGTAAATATATAAGTAAATAGATTAATAAATGAATCAGATACCATCCTGGTAATTAAAAATACGCCCGGAAACTAATATTTTTTTCTCACTTTTTATAAAGAATATCGGAGATGTGTCAATGTGTCATCTCTCTGCTTAGGAAAAATGGCGATTAAAATGCCATCTTTGCTGAAAAAAAGGATACCATCGAGATTTTTCTTAAAGCACTCTTGAGATAAGAATCACATAAAATAACATGAACAATCACTAAAATATATTTAACTCTCGAAATTGTTTGTTCAGGGACCCATGTGCGTATCATGAACCTACTGTTAGACCTCTCCATGAGTCACTACAGTAAGGTTCGAACTCATGGACAGAATATCCTGGCCAAGGTCTGCAAATGGTTCTCCTACTCATACAAGATTATAGTACCTAGAGTAAGTATTATTATCCCACGAAACATTACAGTAGCACGACGACTTTAACGTCGTGTTTTATTTTTGATATAAGTTGCTGCATTTATTTGTCAACCTAATTTTAGAAGTAAAATTCTAGAGATAGTGATCACAAAATACCCTTAGTTCTGAAATTTTCAAAATGTGGTCTGCCTTTTTTGTGCTTTCAATATTACCGGACATATGAAGAATTTCGTTCAGATTTTGACAATTTTGGTTTTATTTAACAAAATTGAAATCTGAACAAAATTCTTAATATCTCTGGTTTTATTGACTGCACAAAAAAAGGCAGACCACATTTTGGAAATGGAGAACTAAGGCTATTTAGTGATTATCGTTTCTTCAATCATATTTGTAAAATGATCAATGGAGTATTTACCCCCCCCCCCCCATTCTGTTTTTTTGGCTATTGTAAACCACACTTGTACTGTTACTGTTTGGAGCCCAAATTTAAAACAGGTTATTGTCAAGAAATCCGGGTTTTGTTTATGTGGTAAAACAATTTTCTAGGAATAGAATTTTTTGTTTGGAAATAATATTGCTTGCATATGGTTAGTTTTGTTTTATCTTAATATATTTATAATTCTAACATTAATATCTACATATCGCAAAGGAAGGGAAAACATAAAGAAAACTGGATAGGTTCATTTAACGAAAACCTCATTTTTCCGGCTTAGGTGTTCAACTACATAGCTTGAGTATTAAATTTATATTTCTCTATTTAGGTTCTCTCTAAATTACTTCCGGATCCTGATATTTCTCATGAAGAATTCAAGGCAGGAGCAGCATTCACTTCATTCATCACACCCTCGGGAATTATATTTAAAAAATGTTGTATCTTAATTGTTTGTGTTTTTATTCAATTTAGTTTTATCGGGAAAAAAGTACATTTAATTTGAAGAAGTATTCTAGATGAATCTTGGCCAGACAATATTGGCTCTTTTAAACGTTAACTGTTATCTTTGAGAATTTCCTTATAGTCATGGAAAACTCTACCTTGTGTTAAACAAAGAAAAGGAATCCTGGATTAGGGAGCCCTCTACCTAGTTCTACAGAACCAGCTCCTTGTCAAGCATAATTGGGAGCTCCAGGTCGAACTATGGCCGCTGCTGGTCAGAGCACAGCATAATGAGAAACCTTCCATTACTGCACTTATTAAATCTATTACGGGTAAGTAATAGTAATCTTGGATCCAAAAACTTTCTTCTATTTTGTCCTTCGTGGATTTTAACCCGGGAGAGCCAAGGGTTTTGTTGAGGAAAATAACCAAATATCCTTTTTTCTGACAGTTTTATTTGATTTAAATAAAATTAATAAATCCCTCTCTTTCTCTAGGTTATATCCACAGTATTGATAACTGGACAATTATATGATTTGATTTGATTTGATTTGATTTGATTTGATTTGATTTGATTTGATTTGATTTGATTTGATTTGATTTGATTTGATTTGATTTAAATTTGATTTGATTATTTGATTTGATTTTTATGGATTTGGAATTTCGGACTATGGATACGTTCTGTGGGCCTAATTTCGTTTTGAAAAGAATGTTTAGAAATTTTCTTGTTAAGGTTGTGCTGGTAGATTAGTAAGTGTTCCTCCGAGTCTATCTGAGGTACAGGATACTGAGGATGAGAGTGCAAGGAAGAGTGTGAGTAACCTAGAGCAGTATCAGCTTCTAACAGAGAATCTGTGTGGACTGGTTGAATCCTCAGATCTCCACTGGAGACATTACAATACAGCACTCAGCATGCTCTGCTCTTTACTCAGGTAATTAATTAAATAAACTTTTCTTAAGACTTGATTAAGTACTCGAGGACCAGATTTAATGATTAGACGTAGTTCTTAATTTAACCACTTCTCTTAAACTTGATCCGACGCACAAAATAAGTAGAAATACTTCTCACTATTCATTAAACTTGGTTCCGGGACTGGAAGGGCATTAAAATAATTGAAATAAATTGTTTAGACACGATGTTGATTTTCCACTTCGAGCTGTCAAGATTTTCACAAACAATATTATTCATGATGACATTGTAGTTAGAAAGGTAATTCACACTGACATCAACAATAACAAACCTAATAAAATATGATTAAATATAAAGATGATTGTGTTCTAGGCTTCTATCCATGTTCTGGATTGTATCCTACAGAAGACTAAGAGAAAGCATCCTAAGGTTTCAGTTAGTTTGTCCAAGACTGAAACTGTTCCTCCTTCACTAAACTGTGATCATGGCTCGTGTTTAAAAGAAGATACTAAAAATATGTTCAATGGTACAAATGGCTGTGAGATTATCAAGGAGCTTGGGATAGAAACCAAAGGCTGTGAGAACGGAGTAGAGAATTCTGTAAAAACCATGAATCAGAACAAGTCAAATCACAAATCCGGAATCCTCATTCCAGGTAGCTTAAATCAAGGCTTAGTGGTAAACAAGTACATGGTACATATACTAATACAATGTAAGAATTATGTACAATGTACAAAGTATACATACTGATTTTTACAGAATTGTTAAGAGTTGATATTGTGTTATTATAGATTTAAGAGAGAAGTTAACTGGAACGGATTCTAATTGTTCTCTTCTGGTTAGACCCGGAGAGAGACAAGACAATATATTTCTACAGTACGGAGACGAGAACAAACCTAACTCTCAGGAGGAGTACGATGCACCCAGGTGAGATACTTTAAAAATAAATTCGGAAATTATTTATTTCAGATAACTTTTGTTTTAGATTTATTCATAAAACATATTTGGGGTTCTATGTTTGGCCGAAGGAGAATCTAGTCTACGCCCCTAGTTCACAGCAGCCTAACCTTGACCGAACCCTGGAGGAGATGCCGGACTCAGAGAAAATAGTTTTCTCTTTATTCTCAGACAAGGAGAAAGTAAAGAAACTGTTCACGTTCCTCACCCTGGAGCATAAGAAGGGTCGGGACTCCTTTGATGTTGAGAGGTTTGGAATGTTTAAAGCAATTTTCAGGAACTTTGGAGATATGTTCCTTGAAAACTTCAGAACAGAGATTGAGACTCTTGTTGGAGATCATAGAGAGAGTTTCCAGCGTGCTGCTGCTGAACTGTTAGCATCCATTATACGCGGGAGTAAACACTGGCCGTATCAGAAGATAGAAAATATGTGGTCCTGGATCCTCCCAGCTATTAGAACTGCGCTGAACCATGTGTCTCCGGAGACTCAGAGAGACTGGGGAACATGTTTTGCAACAAGTAGTGAGAATAGGGATCCAAACCGGCTTCATTGGCTCATGGAAGTTGCCATGGAGAATCCGATACGTTCTCAAGGTAGCTTCATTGATGCAAGTCGTCTCTACATGCTCCAAGGTGTAGTTGCCCAGCAGCGTTGGAGAGTTGGAAAACTTCTTCATCGACTTCTAGAGTTTCTTATTCCCTTCCTTGATCATCCGTTCCACAATGTACGATCTCGGTTAGGTGCTGTACTCACAAACGTTTTTGCTCTTGATCTAGAGTTTGGAGAGTTCGGAAATGCAAGCGTGTCTTCTCCGATTGAAAAGGATTTTGTTTTTCAAATCCTTCCAAGATTGCAAGTGCTCCAGGATACTGAAGAGAAGGACGAGAACGCTCTCCGCTTGCTGCAGACCGTCTCCAAGTGGATCTGCTGCAGTTTGGTTCAAAATATTGGACCAATGAAGATCCACACGCTTGAGTTTCTACCAATCCTGCTCCAGTATGAGTGGTATGACAGGGATCCACAGCTTGCTAGGGATTGTCAGGTTTCACTCTCCTTTCTCAGCCGATCCCTACTCCCTGTTCCTCTCCTCAATCCTCTGTGTTCTATCCTTCAGCAGACGATAAACTCAGACTCCTGGAGAACTAAGTTGAGTACACTAGACTTCCTTCAAGCAGTTATATTCAACAATTTTATCCAAATCTGGAATAAAGGACCTGAAACTAAGAATTTAGTTCTAGATGTTGTTGGATCAGGACTCATTGATGATCAACTAGAAGTCAGGGTTAAATCATCTCAGGTACAGTCATATTTATATCTTGAAATATGTATATTGGAGATACCTGAATCTTATTCTTTTTTTAAACTTCAGATTGACATGCTTGTGTTTCATTTTACAAAAATTATTTCATGCGCCTTCACTTTTTTTAATTTTTGAAATTCTAGCTTTTTCCCCCGAATGATTTTTTTGTACATTTTGCCGAGAATCTTATAAATTAAATTAACATGAAATCATATGACTTCGTTGCAAAATGAAGGGTAGTCCCTTATTTAGGTGTTGAGTGGATTAATCCATTGCAAGTTTATTCCTGAACTAGAATACAAGACTCTGATCAACAGATATAAACAATCCGTTGCTGGAGCTGGAACTGTATCTTCAAGACACGGAGCAGTTTTAGGACTTTGTGCTTTCATCTCCGCCTTTCCTCATGATGTTCCATCCTTTCTCCCTGACCTCCTCATATACATTGGGAACCTTCTCAGTGAGAGACAACCTATCTCGGGTAGGATTCTTTTCTGTTAGCTGTAGCAACAAATTGCATGATGTGCAATTGGGCTCATTTCTTTAGCTTTCTGTATTTTTATGATGTATACATATGCCGGGACCAAATTGGATAATTTTTTAAGGAACCCCCTATGGGAACCCCGTGGGTGTCAGGTTAATTTTTCTTTGAAAATTTCTAAAATTCCACGGGCAACGCCGAGCACTTCAGCTAAAATCATGAGTTGATACCAAGTGCGTGTAAACACCGGAGCAACTATGACTGAATAATAATAAAAACCCGGTGAACGCCGGGCACTCTAGCCAAGTATTTATATAATTAAAATTATTTAATGATTAATTCGAACCGATCCTGTCCAACATTAGTCCAAGTAACTACTTACTTCTTAGTAATAGTAATCATTCTAATTATTTTGAGATTGTGTCGTAACTTTAGGCTTATACTCCATATTTAATAATCTAAACTTTCAATTTATTTTACTTAATTTATTGTTTGTACTGAAGTAGGAAGACGACATTTAATCAATATTGATCAATAATGCATGTAGTCTTACCAGAGCCCAGATCGTCCCAGATAAACGGGTGTATTTAGGACGTACTTTATATGTCTCTGTGTTTGGTTACTATAGTCAGCACATAATCTAATGCTTTCCATTAGTAATCGCCGACATGGTTTGTGTATCACCGTATTTATGACGGACACAGTCGGAGACGTCATATGTTAATAAAAAGTATCAATGAGACGACATGGGCTCACTACTGTAACTGTAGAATTGTTAATATTTGAAAACTTGGAGTTACATCTTTATGGGTCTTACTGTGGTATCATTGATACCGTATCAGCAATTACTAAATTTGTATTTAAAATGTTTCTTCTGTTTCAGCCACGATAAAGAAGACGGTTCAGAACTTTAAGAGAACTCATCAGGATAACTGGAGCGAGCACAAGGAGAACTTCTCCGAGGACCAGCTCTCAGAGCTCACAAACCTACTCATCTCCCCCAGTTACTACGCTTAAAGTATAGTTTTGTGGGAGACGTTGACTAAACATTCGTATTATGCAAATTAAGTTTATTTAGTTAAAAGTCATTATTTTTCTATGACGCTAAATTTGTATGTTCTACTATTTTCAATAAAATTAAAAATGTTAGTTTATAATTACTTTCAATTTTCTTAACGATTTTAAACAATAGCTTATTACTCTTACAATACAGGAAGTAGTAGGGATTGTGTAAATATTACTGTGACGTTAGTCATCGTCGTACACATCTATACAACGAAGACTACTTTTTATTTGTATTTTAACTTTCTTTCAAACAGCAAAGACACGTACATATGTGAAGAACTTGCCAATTAACAGTTTCTCTTTTTTATCTGTAAACTTGTAATTTGAAAAGTGCTTGCGAAGGATAAAAGCATTAATATTATAAATTCGTCTTTATGTATTAATATAACCGCCGACCACTGTATCAGAACAGGATAGGATCGAGTTTTACTTTAACAATATCAAAAATTGGCAACTATAATCACAATTTATAGGTAAGTAGGCCGGGCCTGGGAAATCACTGTTATGCGTCACGTTAACCTGCAGTCTGTTCCAGACATAAGAATGTCAATAAAATAAAATTGGGCGTTTTTACTCGATCAAAAGGGCGGATTTAATGGGAACATGATTAGGTCGTGAAGTATTGAGAGCAAAAATGTCTGACCTTTTTGAAAGAAAAAAAAAACATCAATATTTGCCCATTTCGTAAAAAACATGTTTTGTGCAGGGTGTCCCAAAAAACATGAGAATTCAGTGACGAATTGTATATCGTCTTTGCTTGAATAAGCATTGTAATACCTAATTTCCAAAGCCATACTATTATTATGTCTGCTAGAGTTTATTTTATGAAAAGGGTAAAAGACTGTAAAGATGTGTCTATAATGTCTCCGCAAGATGAACAATGAAGACGGACAAGTTTACTCTGTTTGTATATTGTAATTTTCTTGTTTTACTAATCAAATAATCATTTGAAAAGACGATATCGAATTCGTCACTGAATTCCCATGTATTTTGGGACACCCTGTATCAGAGATAACTTGAACCACAATGGTTATTGCAGAAGAAAATTTAGTTATCGTAGGATTCCCTTCTGAATAAAAAGGAATTCTCGACGAATCAAGTTTATTAAATATTAGTTACACCACATATATAATTAATATACTTTTTATTTCATGATTATACATGAACAAATGGATAATCATACCAATCTAAAATAAGATGATAAATAAACTGCAGAGCCCATAAACCTGGGGAATAGAAAGACGACATTGAAGCATTCTTCTATGTGCTTAATGTTGTATTTAAGCAAATAGTTACACCAGTATAGCTTGAATATAAACTATTTAAATTAAATCCACCTGCATGCACTGCAAAATTGCTTCATTTCATGTCCAATGAATAATTTTAATCATAACTTGATTCTAGTCTTCCTATTCCACATTTTTACTGGTCACACTGTACTACATGGAAGAAGACATATTTCATTACCGAATTTATAATATAAAGAGCGTCCCATTATATATTGGATTGTCTCCAAGCTTTAACTCCAAAATACGCACATAATACTCGAAAACCTACGTAGCATTTTCTGCATACACACTTTTATATTTGCCTTATAGAATTTTTTAAAATGATTCATCTTTTTTATTTTTCATATTGAAGCCGAAAATCGCAATTAAGAGCTATAAACGATCTAATATGATTTGCGACACCCTGTAGATTAATAAAATCTAATTTTGATTTATAATATTTTGTTCCTTTGGTATTTCATAGTTTTGCATCATTATTCACTTTATAAGATAAAATTAGCTTAACACCTCTGGAAAATTTATTTGATTTAATTTCTATCTAGGATAGTCCTGATTATTATCAACATATTTTTCTTTTTATCGTGTTGCAATTGTTTTGATTATAATTTATCCCAATCCATCCATTTAAGGTTTGATATTCATCCCTCTTGGAACCAGGGTTCCAAACTCCTTGATCCATTCGCTCTCTCTCTGCTTTAAACTGTCCTTGCTCTTGTTAAACACCTTCTCAATGGGTATGATGCTCATATGCCCGGGATTATGTCCTGAATACAACAATAAATACATAATGTACAATGTACATAGATGTTATTTGATAAACTAAAATCTAAACGAAATTCTCAATGTCTCTGGTAACATTGAAAGCACAAAAAGATAGATTACATTTTGGAAAATCAAGACAAGTGGAATTTTGTAAATTTTGTTACGAGAATCATACATGTAAAAGCAGGTTGACGATTGAATGCCGCAAACGATAACAAAGACGACCTTCCTAACGTTTCTCAGCTGTCATTTTTCGTTAGACACCCTGTACGTCAATATACGTTGTACATCCAATTAGTTTGATAATATTTTCTGAACATTGAAGTTAGAGTTATAAAATGTTGAGCCTGGGCGATACAAATTGATCATAAACATTCATTACATAGCTTTTTAGCTCTACTTTAACTAATTGAGACTCTAAAGGTAGAGATAAGAGGGTTGCTTCGGAGAAATGATCATCATTGGAGTACTAAATTGGCAAGACTCAAGGGCGAGTAGCGACTCCCAAAACCCAAAGGTTTTCATCGGATATTCACTGGTGTTTCATCTAAAACCCCCCTGTATTCTTTCTTGAAATCACTCTTTCTCATTGGAGACGTCATAGAGAAAGGAAACTAAAAGGCAAAGCTTAACTCAGATGTACACAACAACTAATTAATCAAAAGAGTGGTCGGTTGTGTGCATCTCGATATGTTTACGTATCTAACACTGTACACTTGTATATAGAGTGATCGTATTTCTTGGGGGTGTTAACATGGAGATATTTGAAAATTGTCAAAGTTTTGCAATCAACATCCTCGAAATCTCTTTATATAAAGAAAGAAAATCTAAAAATTTATCAATTCCATAAAATCCCTCTAAGAAATACGATCACTCGATATACAAGTGTACGTAAACATATCGTAATCTACACAACCGACACTCTATTAATTAATGAAAAGGGAGGTCGGTTGTGTACATCTGAGGTAAGCTTTACCTCTTTGTTTCCTTTCTGTATGGGAGACCCCCAGATTTTTTTTTCTGGAAACAACCTTTTTTAATCGGAGGCCTCTATATTTTCATCGGAGGCTTAAGATCTCGATTATAAACTGAAAGTCTCCAATAATAGCCTAGAGGTTTCCCATTAAAATCTGGATGTCAATAAACACATGTTCCTGTGACGGGCATATCTTCCAAAGGTTTGAGATCGAAAAGGCGATCAGAGAGAGAAAACAAAAATCACTTATGAAACAAATTTTCCTAAATCAATAAATACAGGGGACATTAGTTCCAAAACTAACAAGTGTTAGGTTTGGAACTAATATCCCCTGAAATATCTTAACACATTTTATCTTTTCAGGCGCAGGGTTAAAGAAAAAATAGAATTAAGAATTCGATGTGAATAGATATGATATAGCGTTGCAGAAGGGTTGCAGAGTGTCCGAAAGTACTCCAATGATATTGATTTTTTCTCAGAAAGAAACTGCGTCTCCCTCCACTTATATAGTTCATGCTGCGCCGATTTTTTACCCCCCCCCCCCTTAGACCATGGATACATACAACCCCATTCATGATGTATACCAAATTACGGGTTTAAGTTGTGTTTGACTTCAACTTCCCAATCATTTCTGGGATTAAAAAAAACTCTATCCAATAAAATGCTTCCTTTCCCACCTTTCTTAATTTATACCCTAAAGGTTGTCCACTATAAATTTAGACTTTTTAAACATCTTATAAAATAGCAAATCCACCAATATGAAAAATCCGCGATGATCAGCCACCTGTGCCCTGGGAACAAATTATTGTTGCAGTTTTTTGAAGAATATTCTATCATAAAGAAGATTAAGGACATGAAAGAGGAGTGGATAAAAATGCTTTTTGGCAGGTTCTACATCAAAAACTACAATGCAAAGTAAAATTCATATTTTCCCCTGAAAGTTAACGGCATTATTGGAAATAATATTTTTATACATGCTGCAGAGACTGCCTTTGGAGTTAGTGTTTCTAATGAAATTTGTCCTAGGGCAAAATCTAATCAAAAAGGTGCAAATAACAGTAATTAATATATCTGGGAAACGTGATGGGGGTTGGGGGGATTCCTGTCATGCCCTCTCTACCTTATCACTTATTATTTTTGTTTAACATCTCAAACAAAATCAAATAATCATCAATATTTATACGAACTAAAATCAGTTAAATTCAAATTTATCTCTTTATCTGGTGAATTTTTATAAAATGTAATAAGTGTAAGCTATTGTTCATAAGCAATGAAATACTGTCATCTTTTTCTTAAATAAAGAATCTTGCAGAATAAACCTACCTGGAAGAGTGAAATGTCGACCGGTCGGTTGGTTTGTGATCCTGTTGTTAACAATGTTAAGATGCTCTGAGAAAGCTTCTGATAAGCTGCGCTGTGTGTGCCCTACCAGCTGTTTCTTGCATTTTGTGCACGTGATTAGATAAACAAGATGTCGGGTGTTGCAGTCCACGTGACAGTTGATTCGAACAGACTGGCCTTAATAGATTTTGCAAATTTGGTAAATTGAAAAATATCATGAAAATATCATAAGAATAATAATTGAATATTTTCTTAATTGTAGGATTCTTACAAATTTAGGCTGATGATGTAACTAAATTTTCCAAACGATTGATAAACCTTGATTTACCTGTGACTGTTGATTTCGCTTCAACAGCTGGAGAAATATACGGACACATTGTACACCCATCCTTTTCGCATTTATTAAGACCCGGAGCTCCATCTGCTACCTGGATACTATCCTTCTCCTCTCTCAACTTCTCCAGTTCCTCTTCGGTTTTCTCAAACTCCTTAGTTGTTCTCTCAAGTTCATCCTGAACCTCTTGGATCTCTTGGTTTCTTTTCTCCAATTCTTCCTCGAGAGATTTTAGCTGGGTTTCTTTTGCCACCAGGTCGGTTTTAGCTGAATGGAGTTGATCTTGTGTTACACTTAACATTTTTTCTTTTTCTTGAAGAGTTTCTTCTTTACTAGAGTTCTCCTCTTGTGCTTGTATGAGCTGCTGTCCTATTAGGATCAATTTTTCATCTCGATCTTGTATATCCAACTCTTTCCTTGATATTTCTTCTCTAGCATTGTCATAGTTTAATTTGATCGTGTTTAACTCCTCAATTCGTAGTTGAAGTTGAGTGTCTTTTCTCTTGATTTCTTTATGGGCCTCTTCTAAGGATAATTTAGACTCACTGAGAAGATTTTCCTGATCCTTTAACAGTTTTTCCTTCTCCAATATCTCCTGCTCTGCTTCTGATAGTTTAGTTTTGAAATGATTCAATTCTTCCTTTGTCTTAACAATGTTTCCTTCTTTAGAACTGTTCTCTGACTGTGCATCGTTAAGTTTAGCTTTGATCATATCTAGCTCTAGTTGCAGGGATTTCAATATAACCTCCCTCTCCTTCAGGTTCAGATTTGTCCTGTTTAACTCCTCAGTTATACCTTTAAGCTGCTCCGACCTCTCAGATAATTCTTCTTCTTTCTGTTTATTATACTGTTCTGCAGAATCCAGAAGCTGTTGGAGATGATACAGTTCCTCTTCTTTAATCTTTAACTCCTCAACCTTATTCTCGAAATCATGATTCTTCACCTGAAGATCCTCTGTCACCTGGGTCAACTCCTCGTTAGTTTTCTGTAGTTTTAAACTAATCCTCTCCAGTTCTTCAGATTTATTCATTAAAAGTGATGTCTTTGCTGTTATTTCCTCTTTTGCAATCTTGATTTCAGTTTGCAGTCCTCTGATGGAACCTTCTTTTTGATCGATCTCTGCATCTCGGGTTTTGATGTCACCGTGAGCCTTCTCAAGTCTCTCCTTCAATCTCTCCAGCTCAACAGCTTTCTCCTCCAGTTTATTTGCTTTCTCTTGTGAATCCTTGTCAGAAATCTCCAGATTCTTCAAGGTTTCCTCTAGAAGTTTCTCTTTCACCTCAAGTAATTTCTTTCTTTCCTCGTTCTCCTCCTGAGAAGCTTTGAGAGTTTCTCCTAAGCGTTTTAACTCCATTTCCTGAAAGATTTAATTTCTTTAATGTTTAGGAGAATACAATACAATACAATGCAATCCCAACTACGGAAAAGTTTAATTTTTATTTCGTTTAAGTTTTGTAGTATTTCTAATATAAGTTAAAACTCTTAAAACAACTTATTCTGAGAGGGTGGTCTCTAAATATATTTGGTAAGTGAATATAAAAAAACTATTTCTAATTTTAAAAACGTGTCTGCGAATATTTAATTTAGTCTATATATAAAATATTTTTACCTTTTCTTTAAGTTCCTTGGCCTTGTATGTATTAACCTCTGTTGCGTCCTGTAGAGTGCCTCGGACAGTTTTAAGTTTCTCCATAGTCTCCTTCAACTGCATACTTCGGTCCTCAGTTTCACGTTGGGATATTTCAACCTCTCTCTTTAACCCTGACAAAGGATTAGGATAATATATCAATCTAACACTTGTACATACACAGGATTAAATAACTTATAAGGCATAAGGCACATACAATTTAGGGTTTGCTGACAAAATTTAAAGTTAGGATTTTTACGATATTTGGGTAATGTAGAAGGTAGCAATTATTAATGAGAAGATTCCAGTTAGGTAAGTTATCTCAGTGTCAGCTACTTTTAGAATAAAAAATGTTATAAAGTTGTTCTGTGTTAATAACACAACAGTGCAGTTTCATGGTGTTTTTCTCAAGCAAATCAGTATTTTTATTCTCTTAAGACAACCCTGTAATTTAGGAACATTCTACTAGAAAATAAATATAAAAAGAAGTGATTTCTCTCAAGTTAACAAGATTTACAATTTTACTTTTCATCTTTGCTTGTGTCAGGAGAACTGATATCTTCCACAACATTGTTTTTAATCAAAAAGGATTGTATATTGTAGCAAAAAAAATTGCTTTTTTGTTTTTAATATTCAAAGTTTTGTGTTTTAAATGCTTGTGTTTAACGTTTCTTTCATCGTTATTGCGTTTACATTCTTAAGTCTTTAATCTAGACGCATCATATTATTAAAACAATTAATAGTTTAAACTTATGGGAACGAATTTGACTAGGATTTATAGGTAGAAGGTATAAGAATAATATATCCCTTGATGAAAATACAAATATTTTTATCCAATATTCATATATATATATATATATATATATATATATATATATACAATCAAGTAAGTGTGTATAATACTAAGAAAATCTAATTTGAGCTCTGTAGATAGATAGAATATATTCAATACCAGTCAATCCTTTAAACCCTCCAGGTTTCCTTAAGTTTACCAATACAGTGAAAACCAGAAAACTCTGGATTAGGAAGACGACATTAAGCGATAATTGAGGCTGTGAGTGAAAAAAGTTTTTTTTCAACACTCTTTAACTTCTCTAATTTGAGAGCTATTGAGAAGAACAAATATTTTAGAATGTTAAAATGTAACCTAATTAATTTCCCTTTCTTATACCAATAATATCGCCTAAATTTGACCTTCTCATGCTATCTAGTTCACAGTGGTGGTACCTGACAACTCAGATTCTAGTTTAGTAAGAGATATTGTCTTCTCTGTATTAACCCTCTCCGCCTCCTGTAGCATGGTGTGAAGGTTGTTCAACTCCTTCTCCTTCCTGGACCCTTCTTCCTGCAGGTTCTCCAGGTCCTTGGTTACACACTCCAACTCCAGGGTTCGCTCCTGGATAATAGATCTAGTATAAAGGGAGTGTTCCGATTTATAAGAATTTATTTTATTTTAGGAAAATTTCAGATTAAAATTTGTTTCTTTAATAATACAAAATTTAGAATTTATATTAGGACTAGCAACCAGGGATATTTGATAGAGATCAGTTTAGTATTCGAATAAATGTATGGAATTTGCATTATGCATTTTTATATATTATACACAAGCACAAATCAGAAATTGAGAACGCTTTGCGCCCAGATTTCTTGTGTAATTTCTATTTTCAGTTCATATTTTTATCTTAAAATAAAATATAGAGAGAAGCAGAAAACTATCGCCTTGGAAGACGACATTGTAGCAATACTTTTGGTACTTTATGCTGTCAGAAAGCAAATACAGTGCGTTTCACTGATTTAATGCAAATGTTGAATTAAAATTTAAAATGATTTTTGTGATCATTCAGGTTCTTTGGAATTGAGTTGTTGCCACAAACTCTGATTTTCAAATTTCAATATCATTGCAACCCAATGTCGTAGACCTTTAATATTTTAAACTATGAATGCTATTAGATAAAATAATGTAAGTTTGAAATATCAATTGTTTACATCATAAGGTTGCAAAGATATTAGCTTTACAAAAACTGAATTTGTGGCAAAGACTCAATTCCTTTGGATAAAAGTGTTTTTTACAAAACATGTGTCAACTAATATTGTACTTTTGTTTACAGGTTTTAAGTTGAAATTATTTTGGTTTAGAGGTCAGAAAGGAATTAATATTATTTTTTATTATTTATACTATCGTTACTGTAGCACAGAATGATGCAATTGATCTCTTTTCATAGATATTGGGAAAGAAAAGATATCTTTCTACTAATGAAAATAACTCTGTATGAGTTCATCTGAGATAGATAGGGATAAGATACTTTATGGATTACAAATATTTTAATGCTGGATCCCTGTATAATTCTAGGATATTTAAATGTAGGTGTTGTAGAATAGAAAAGGTATCCTAAATGGGGGTTTAAAACTGGGAAAGGTTGCGATATCCTCAAACTCTAAAGGGAAATGACAATAAAATCCCCATAACACCCTAAAATCACTTTTTGAAGCAACAGGGGTGGCTGTAACCCCTAAAATGGGTAGTTGTAGAGTTCTGAAAACAATGGGTAGGTTTGTCAGTCCCCTAAGAGCCCCCTGTAGGACAGTCATCATCAACGACCGTATTGAATGGGATCAGGAGAACCTGAAAACTGACTTTTCAAAAATAATTTTCACCTTTTAGGGCAACCCGGGAGATTCCAAATGAACAAGGTGCCAAGATGAAAAATAGGCCCAACAGGGATAAGAAGGAGTTCAATTTTTAGCATTAATCATCAAAGACAACTTGGTTGAACCAACAATAATACCAGAAGGATTTAAAATTAACTTGAAGGCCTATTTTGACCTCTTGGAGGCTAATTTCTCTCCCTGGTTTGATCAACAAATCCAGTAAAACTGAAGTTCCTAGTTTTTTGGCAGGATATAGATTCATGTATCATAGTCCATTTATTTGGCAGGATATATCCCCAATTCATGTATCATAGTGCACCATTGACAGAATAAAGTTATGAAGGTTGAGGGGAGGCCAGATGACTGGGCCTCAAAATCTGGCTGATCTCAACCCTATAGAAATCCTTCTGGCGATCTTGAAACACAAAATTTACAAGACATTAAAGACATTTTGGGTCCAAGGAAACCCTTTAAAAGGTCATACAAGAGGCTCCAAAGGATATCCCAACCTCCAAAAGCCTCAAGCAAACAGCCTCAATGGATTCAACCTTGATTAAGCTTGTACAGAAGAAAGGGTGGCATCTAAAAAATTATTTTTGCTATTTTTACGATTTTCAAAATAAAACAGGGTTTTTGAACCCATAAATACATTTTTTTAAAATCTAAACTTTATTTTAATGCATTTTACAATTGCTATTTGAAAATGACAAAGTTTTGCGTTAATATTTGCAAACAAGGAGCAAGATACAGGCCAATTGCATAATTCAATGGTACACTAAATTTATAAGAAATAATGATAATTCAAGGAAATATATAAAATCATTGAAAGATAGTTTTCTGCCAAAAAATATTACAAAGTGAGTAAAAGTGTAATTTTACACACTTTTTACTTTATTATTGCAAATCTTTAAGACCCCTTTTTTCAATTTCAGAGTAAAATTAAGCATTTGCATAATTCATTAGAACGCACTGTAGTTTCAGTTGAAACTTATTAAATCACTTATCAAATTAATGAGGTCTTTTTACACAGGAAACCCGTTGTGTCTCATGTTCATTGAACTATATTGAGAGTCATAAATTGAGTCTAAAAGCCGTCTTCCTATTCCAGAGTTTTCTGGTTCTCATCGTATTTTTATAAAGTTTTGGTGACAACTGCTGTCGGGGGAATTATGTTGCTTTTGGGATATTAATTGTGTTGGGAAGTTGCTGTTGAGGATATTGTGTTGGGAAGCTATTTGGGATATTATGTTGGGAAGTTGCTATTGGGAATGTTTTTTTGGAAGTTGCTCTTGGGAATATTGTGTGGGAAAGTTTTTAATGGGAATATTGTGTTGGGAAGTTGCTATTGGGGATGTTTGTTTGGGAAGTTGCTCATGGGAATATTGTGTGGGAAAGTCTCTATTGGGGATATTGTGTTGGGAAGTTGGTATTCGGGATATTAAGTTGGGAAGTTGCTATTGTAGATATTGTGTTGGAAAGTTGCTATTGGGGATATTGTGTTGGGAATATATTGGGGATAATGTGTTGGGAAGCTATTGGTGATATTTTGTTGCTATTGGGGATATTAAGTTAAGAAGTTGCTATTGGGGATATTGTGTTGGGAATATATTGGGGATATTGTGTTATTGTGATGGGAAGCTACTGGTGATATTTTGTTGGGAATTGCTATTGGGGATATTGTGTTGGGAATATATTGGCGATAATGTGTTGGGAAGCTATTGGTGATATTTTGTTGGGAATTGATATTGGGGATATTGTTTTTGGAAGCTATTGTGGATATTGTGTTGGGAAGCTATTGGTGATATTTTGTTGGGAATTGATATTGGGGATATTGTTTTTGGAAGCTATTGTGGATATTGTGTTGGGAAACTAATGGGGATATTGTGTTGGGAAGCTATTGGGAATATTGTGTTAATGTATTGGGAACTTGCTGGGATATTGTGTTGGGATATTCTGTCTTTAACAATTTATCAAATCAAAACATATCGTGTTTACAGTTGGTTAATGTTTGTATATATAATAACTTAATTACTGATATTTGTTTACATCAATATATATATTATATATATAATATATTCGTTGTATATTTATAAATACTATGCTTTTTCTAGTAATACTTTTATATATATACTTTTCTTACAATTTCATTACAATCACTAATTTTTTGTCATGACGCACTAAATTGGTTCCGGAACCACTATTAAGTTCTCTTGGAACCAGTGGAACGCACTAATAAGAATTAATGAGGACGTACAAAAGTGTGACAAAAATAATACAAATGCAGTTTTCGATAAATACCTTTAACTTGTTTTCTTGAATATTAAGATCCTGGCAGGTTCTCTGCAGTCTACAATCCATCCAGGAAAAATATTTCAAAAGAAAAAAATGTTTTTTATTTCCCCAGTGACCACATTTCTTCAAACCCGGGAAGTTTTAAGCCGGGACAATAATGCTGGTTTTAAATCTTAAACCACTTTATTGTCCCAATTGACTACTTTATTCTCCCCCCTGAGTTCTAAAATTCCACCTCAACGCTTGTATCAATAAAAAAGATTTTTTTCTCCATGGTTGCCTAGAGTTTAAGGTTTCAAGTTCTGCATGTTTGTGTTGTAACTCCTTATCCTTGGTAGATATTGCAGATAATGAGACCTCCAGGTTACTCTCTAGCTTACTAAACATTTAGTTCTGTTTTAAACGTTCTCTTGGCTTACAATAAGATTGTTAGAATATTCATAAAAACAGAGTAAAGGCTCAAGATTTGTTTGATTTTCGGAGATTTCAAAAATTGTAGTTTACCTTGATTCACCTTGACGGAGAAACTAAAATTTTTAACTCTAATATGTATTTTTCGAATAAAAACTTCTAAATATTCAACATCTTTATCATTTTTTAGAAAACAAAGATTGTATACCATGTTTCTAAAATAGCTGATCTTGTCGTTCATTAACACTTTTATTTTTTGGAGTTTATGCTAAACAATTAGGATTTTGGGTGTTATTTTAATATGTTTATTTAAACCATTTTACTGTATAAAAGGAATTGAGATGCTGCCCACGTGGATTTAACGGTTCTGTCAATATTCCAGTGACTTTTGATCCCAATTTGACCCATTAAGCATACTTTTTAGCCTTTTTCTTAAATACGCTTTTGTTAGCGTATGCATTTTGAATTAAAATGTATAATATAAACAAATCCGTAAAGTTAATGATTATTGAATTATAGACCAAAACACGTTTGATTTCAAATCGAAGAAACAGAATGCTGCTCACTCTGGTTAGTCCGGTGTGTGCCACATACTCTGATTTTCCTATCCTGATATCTTTGAACCCGATGTTGTAGACTTTAATATTTCAAACTATAAATTATATTAGATCAAGTAGAAATATCAAAGGTTTAAACCATCAGGTTGCAAAGATATAGGGGTTAGAAAATTTGAGTTTGTAGCAAAAACTCAATGCTTTTACCGAATATCATCGCCTTTCTTAAAAATCTCCAGATCTTTCTCCTCTCCGCTCTTGATTGCAGATAAAAGATCTAGTTGTAGCTTGGTCATCTTCTCCTCCTGCTCCTTCAAGATCTCAACCTTCTCCTGGGTCTCTCCTGAGCCAATCACCTTGCTAGATATGCGAATACAAAAAAGATGATCATTATCGTTATTTAATGTAAAAACGCTTGGTACTCTAGGTTTATTGTAAAAGGTATGAAATGCATAAGTCTTTTTTTCAAAGATGATAATTGACCATTGATCAAAACGCAATTGTACTCATAGGAAAGTTTATTAAAGGGAATGTTCTGGAAAATTAAAGAGCTGGGCTTCCTCAAATATTTCTACATCTTTTATTAATAGAATATTTAGAAAGCTTAAACTACATTGCACCCGGAAAAGCAGTGTGAAACCCATTTTCTCTATTCAATGCATGATCTAATTATTATACATTCTATACAATCTTTCTTATTTCTAGCGAACACAGAGAAGAGAAGACATAGAGAGGAAAAATAAGAATGTCCCTCGGTATGAATGTTTAGTCCCTTTATATAACTTTTAATTGATCTGAAAATGAGTTCACTTTGTACATTTCTTGTAATTGTTTACATACAAAGAGAATAGAATATATTAGAGTGGAATTTAAACAATCCCTCGGTATGAATTTTGTCAGTCCCTTTCAGCCTGAAAGGGAGTCCAATGTGTACAATTCATTTAAATGTTCACAAACTATACGCAGTACATTACACTAATACAGTATGATCCCTGGACAATGGACATATCCATTCCAATTTCTTTGTTTTATGAAATTGTTAATAACTTTAATTATGTGTATTCGCTATAGGTGAATAAAAATCATAATTTTATTAAACATTAAAATGTAAAAGTCAGAGAATTGATTTAGAGAAAATCAAATAATTTTCAAGAAAACTTTTCTATATAATGATGCTCCAGGGCCCAAAAAGTTATATAGCACAAATGTGTGAAGTACACCTGCAGTATGGAAACAGTACAACAAAATGGCCGTTTTCCACTTTTTTCTAGTAAATTCTTCTCTATTCTCTTTGTTTGCATATTATATAGCAGTACATTACATTTGTCCAATTTTTAAAGTTGTAAAATACAATGTAGAATAAAATCATTATTTGATTTAAGAATCAAACGTAAAAATCATTTTTAAAATAACTGTTTTTCTAAGTGGAGTTCCAAAATCCCAAATGTGTGAAGTTCAACTGAAAATATTATTTCATGTAGGTTTTGTTTTTGTTTTTTTGATTTCGTAAATTCAAATCTACGGAAATGCATACACCTCAAAAAACAAACTCTGTGTCTTTCAGATATTTGTTTGTTGAATAAATCTAGCGTGAGTACCTGAAGCATGTTCTAGTTTCTGTTGATAAACCCAGTTTAATTCAGATTCTTTATCTTCAAACTCTTTCGTTCGTTCCTTTAATTCTAGTTCAAGGGATTCTAATCTTTCTCTCAACTCTTGAACCAGTTTCTCTAAAAATTCACAAACAAATCTAATGATTTTCTTTAAAAAAATCAAATAGAGATATGCCTCAATACTTTTATTGATGGAATATAAAAAAATTATTCATCTGTCATTAGATATTAGTAATATTGAAATACATCAGTTTAATCCAGAACTTTGGGTACATCGAAATAATTTATAAAATGTAGTCTTGACAATTTTTTAAATAGCTCAATATGATTATTTAATTAGAAAACTAAATATCTGCAGCATCAATAATCAGTAAGTTTAGAATACGACATTTATAAATTCTTTTGATGTATCCGAAGTTGTTAAACTGTTTAAAAATATAAGTTCTCTTTTTTTGATCCTCGAAAAATGCTAAACCAAAATGGAAAGAAATCTTTGCCACAAACTCTGATTTTCAAATCCCTCTTTGCTACCCATGTCACAGACCTTAAATGCATCAAACTATGAACTCTGTTAGTTCATATAACCTAAGCTTGAAAAATCAAAGGTTTTTAGATAAAGGGATTAGGAAATCAGAGTTTGTGGCAAAGACTCAAGACGAAAAATGGCCCAAGCTCGATAGGAAAACTAAAATGTTTAAATAAATACTAATAATTAAGATTTACCTAGTTCAGTGATAGTTGAGTTCAGGTTCAATTTATCCTTTTCTAAATTTGAGATTTTCAATTTCAGATCTTGGATTTCTGTTCGTCGATCAGATATCTCCAGGTTGTATTTATCAATAGTCTCCTGAAGGTTAGTTTTCAAATCAGAAATATTTTGTTCCAAACTGGCAATACAAGCATCTTTAGACTGGAGGGTAGCATTCAGTTGTTCAATATCTATGGTTTGTTTAGAGATTGTATCCTGGGCCTGGTTTAAGGACTCCGTTAGCTCTGATATCTTGTTGTCTCGGTTCATGATAGTTTCATCTTTCTCATTTATATTCTTGATATGATTTTCCTTCTCCACTGCCAATTCAACCTTAAGACGGGAAACCTCGTTTTTCAGATTTTTATTCTTTTCCTCGGCATCTTCAAGATTTTTATCTCTTACAGCAATTTCCTTAGTTTTATGTTCGATATTTTCTCCAAGGTTGGAAATGGTTTCATTTCTCTCCGAAATAACAGAAACCAAACTCTCAATTTTAGAGTTTAATTCAAGTTTATTGGCCTCCAGTTCTTCCAGTTGAGAATTTAATATTTTTAGTTGAGAGTTTAGTTGAATACCATCAGCCTGAGATAGTTCTAGCTTCTCCTGATATTCTCTCAGCTTTACGTCCTTACAACACACGGTTTGGTTCAAGGTTGAAATATGCTCTGTAAACTTCTCCTCCTTGAGCTGGACCTCCCGATCTAGTTCCTTCAGATACTGAATATGATTATTCTTTGTTAATTGGAGTTCAAGACTTTGCTCTTCCTTTATCTTCATCAAGGATTCAATTTCCTGACATTTTAACTCATTTTCATTTTTTTCCATTTTCAAGGATTTGGAAAGTTCGTTGTAGTCATCATCTTTGGACTTTAATCGGGTTCGCAGATCGTTTATTTTTTCCTCGAAAATCTGGGTTTTATTGTCCTGGACTTCCTGTGTTTTAGCTTCCTTGGCTTTGAAGTCAGATTTCATTGTGGTTATTTTTTCTTCAAGGGCAGACATCTTTTCCTTTGCGCGAATCAGTTCAGATTCGTTCTTCTTGAAATCCCGATCTTTTGCTTTAAATTCATCTTTCAGTGTTGCAATCATCTTCTTGTTCTTCGTATCCGATTCCTGAATAACAAGGTTTACTGTTTTGTTCAAATTAAAGTATTAAATGCAATATAAAAAATTTTTGGTTTTAAAATTTTCGGAACTTTAACAAATTTTTCAAAAATAAGCTGTTATAATTCACCTTGAAATGTTTCTGTAAAAAGTCGATTTTATCCATTTTCTCTGCCAGTGATTTCTCTGCTTTCTCAGCTCTCATCTTTAAGAAAACATTAATTTTAAATATATATTA